GCGTCACCATGATGATGACTGTTAGGAGTTAAGGGGAGAGGCTGAGCGTCACCATGATGATGACTGTTAGGAGTTAAGGGAGAGGCTGAGCAGTCACCATGATGATGACTGTTAGGAGTTTAAGGGGAGAGGCTGAGCATCACCATGATGATGACTGTTAGGAGTTAAGGGGAGAGGCTGAGCGTCACCAGGATGACTGTTAGGAGTTAAGGGGAGAGGCTGAGCGTCACCATGATGATGACTGTTAGGAGTTAAGGGGAAGAGGCTGAGCGTCACCATGATGATGACTGTTAGGAGTTAAGGGGAGAGGGCTGAGCGTCACCATGATGATGACTGTTAGGAGTTAAGGGGAGAGGCTGAGCGTCACCATGATGATGACTGTTAGGAGTTAAGGGGAGAGGCTGAGCGTCACCATGATGATGACTGTTAGGAGGTTAAGGGGAGAGGCTGAGCGTCACCATGATGATGACTGTTAGGAGTTAAGGGGAGAGGCTGAGCGTCACCATGATGATGACTGTTAGGAGTTAAGGGGAGAGGCTGAGCGTCACCATGATGATGACTGTTAGGAAGTTAAGGGGAGAGGCTGAGCGTCACCATGATGATGACTGTTAGGGGTTAAGGGGAGAGGCTGAGCGTCACCATGATGATGACTGTTAGGAGTTAAGGGGAGAGGCTGAGCGTCACCATGATGATGACTGTTAGGAGTTAAGGGGAGAGGCTGAGCGTCACCATGATGATGACTGTTAGGAGTTAAGGGGAGAGGCTGAGCGTCACCATGATGATGACTGTTAGGAGTTAAGGGGGAGAGGCTGAGCGTCACCATGATGATGACTGTTAGGAGTTAAGGGGAGAGGCTGAGCGTCACCATGATGATGACTGTTAGGAGTTAAGGGGAGAGGCTGAGCGTCACCATGATGATGACTGTTAGGAGTTAAGGGGAGAGGCTGAGCGTCACCATGATGATGACTGTTAGGAGTTAAGGGGAGAGGCTGAGCGTCACCATGATGATGACTGTTAGGAGTTAAGGGGAGAGGCTGAGCGTCACCATGATGATGACTGTTAGGAGTTAAGGGGAGAGGCTGAGCGTCACCATGATGATGACTGTTAGGAGTTAAGGGGAGAGGCTGAGCGTCACCATGATGATGACTGTTAGGAGTTAAGGGGGAGAGGCTGAGCGTCACCATGATGATGACTGTTAGGAGTTAAGGGGAGAGGCTGAGCGTCACCATGATGATGACTGTTAGGAGTTAAGGGGAGAGGCTGAGCGTCACAATGATGATGACTGTTAGGAGTTAAGGGGAGAGGCTGAGCGTCACCATGATGATGACTGTTAGGAGTTAAGGGGAGAGGCTGAGCGTCACCATGATGATGACTGTTAGGAGTTAAGGGGAGAGGCTGAGCGTCACCATGATGATGACTGTTAGGAGTTAAGGGGAGAGGCTGAGCGTCACCATGATGATGACTGTTAGGAGTTAAGGGGAGAGGCTGAGCGTCACCATGATGATGACTGTTAGGAGTTAAGGGGAGAGGCTGAGCGTCACCATGATGATGACTGTTAGGAGTTAAGGGGAGAGGCTGAGCGTCACCATGATGATGACTGTTAGGAGTTAAGGGGAGAGGCTGAGCGTCACCATGATGATGACTGTTAGGAGTTAAGGGGAGAGGCTGAGCGTCACCATGATGATGACTGTTAGGAGTTAAGGGGAGAGGCTGAGCGTCACCATGATGATGTTAGGAGTTAAGGGGAGAGGCTGAGCGTCACCATGATGATGACTGTTAGGAGTTAAGGGGAGAGGCTGAGCGTCACCATGATGATGACTGTTAGGAGTTAAGGGGAGAGGCTGAGCGTCACCATGATGATGACTGTTAGGAGTTAAGGGGAGAGGCTGAGCGTCACCATGATGATGACTGTTAGGAGTTAAGGGGAGAGGCTGAGCGTCACCATGATGATGACTGTTAGGAGTTAAGGGGAGAGGCTGAGCGTCACCATGATGATGACTGTTAGGAGTTAAGGGGAGAGGCTGAGCGTCACCATGATGATGACTGTTAGGAGTTAAGGCCCATGATGATACTGTTAGGAGTTAAGGGGAGAGGCTGAGCGTCACCATGATGATGACTGTTAGGAGTTAAGGGGAGAGGCTGAGCGTCACCATGATGATGACTGTTAGGAGTTAAGGGGAGAGGCTGAGCGTCACCATGATGATGACTGTTAGGAGTTAAGGGGAGAGGCTGAGCGTCACCATGATGATGACTGTTAGGAGTTAAGGGGAGAGGCTGAGCGTCACCATGATGATGACTGTTAGGAGTTAAGGGGAGAGGCTGAGCGTCACCATGATGACTTAGGAGTTAAGGGGAGAGGCTGAGGTCACCATGATGATGACTGTTAGGAGTTAAGGGGAGAGGCTGAGCGTCACCATGATGATGACTGTTAGGAGTTAAGGGGAGAGGCTGAGCGTCACCATGATGATGACTGTTAGGGGTTAAGGGGGAGAGGCTGAGCGTCACCATGATGATGACTGTTAGGAGTTAAGGGGAGAGGCTGAGCGTCACCATGATGATGACTGTTAGGAGTTAAGGGGAGAGGCTGAGCGTCACCATGATGATGACTGTTAGGAGTTAAGGGGAGAGGCTGAGCGTCACCATGATGATGACTGTTAGGAGTTAAGGGGAGAGGCTGAGCGTCACCATGATGATGACTGTTAGGAGTTAAGGGGATGAGGCCTGAGCGTCACCATGATGATGACTGTTATGGAGTTAAGGGGGAGAGGCTGAGCGTCACCATGATGATGACTGTTAGGAGTTAAGTGGGAGAGGCTGAGCGTCACCATGATGATGACTGTTAGGAGTTAAGGGGGAGAGGCTGAGCGTCACCATGATGATGACTGTTAGGAGTTAAGGGGAGAGGCTGAGCGTCCACCATGATGATGACTGTTAGGAGTTAAGGGGAGAGGCTGAGCGTCACCATGATGATGGACTGTTAGGAGTTAAGGGGAGAGGCTGAGCGTCACCATGATGATGACTGTTAGGAGTTAAGGGAGAGGGCTGAGCGTCACCATGATGATGACTGTTAGGAGTTAAGGGGAGAGGCTGAGCGTCACCCATTATGATGACTGTTAGGAGTTAAGGGGAGAGGCTGAGCGTCACCATGATGATGACTGTTAGGAGTTAAGGGGAGAGGCTGAGCGTCACCATGATGATGACTGTTAGGAGTTAAGGGGGGGATAAAGGCTTAGCATCACCAATGATGATGACTTTTATAAGTTTAATGGTAGATTCTGTATCTTCACATGATGATGACTGTTAGGAGTTAAGGGGGAGAGGCTGATCATCACCACTCAAATTTTCAAATTGACATAAAAATGAATAAAAGGGGAAAAATGCCCATCGTTTTTTAAGCTGTAAACTTTACAAACCTGCTATGTAAGCCAAGCTAGACAGACAGTCGTATCACTCTTCCTCCTGTACAATCAGCAGATAAAAGGGCACTAACATAATTGAATGAATGGTAATTAATAAAGAATGCTGAAATAACTGCATCTCCATTAGTCCTGTATGCTCTGCAGAGACTGCCTTCTTCATGTCGTGATTGCAGCTGATGTTTTAATATGGCAATTTGACTTATACAACATTCGCAAGTTGTACATTTGACCATACACCCACCTTCGAGTGATGCTCTAGTTTCTTTATGTTTTGTTTTTTGCGCCGGACTGAAACTGTCTTTTCACCGACATCTCTTCACCTGCACTAGTGGCCGTATCAAAGCCGTGATTGGTCAGATGTCGATTCATTGCAACGGTGTCGGGTTACAGACGTGCTCCCCTTGTCACCTCTCACTCTCGCGTGTCAGCCGGGGGTGCGCGGAGAACTGCGCACAGCAGCTGAGGCCCTCTGGGCGGGGCCCCATGCAGCCTGCGTGATTGGCCTGTAGGGAGGGGCGGCCCTGAGTAAAGCCATCGAAAATAATATGATATACAGCACAAGTAGCCTACTTCTGGGTCTCTGTGTTTCATTCAAGCTCGGCTCTGTGTGTGTGTATGTGTGTGTGTGTGTGTGTGTGTGTGTGTGTGCGCGTGTGTGGCACGAGCGCATTTTGTGAGTGCGCGAGCGGTAACGTGGAATGTTGTTGTTAGCATCTGGTTAGCTAGCTAACGGATATAAAGAGCTGTTTCTACACAAAGAATAAGAGAATAAATGAAATACTATAAGACAGTAACACAAGAATACAGTGATTAGTAAAGAAAAAGTACATCTGCTTCCAGTTCTGTTTCATCTGGATGCTGAGAGATGTTTCCATAGATCTCTTCATGTTGCTCTCAAAGTGCACCAGATTGATGCTTTTTTTGATGCCCCCGGACCCCCCTAGAGGAGGTTAGGTCCCCCCCCACCTAAAACATGTTCACATGGATAGGATACTAAATACATTTGCACACTTTTATATGGTGGCCTATGTCCTTATGTTTCTGTGTTGGTGGTCGTGCCTCAACATGTCTGCACAGGTCACAGGTCATAGGTCATAGGTCACAGGTCACAGGTCATAGGTCATAGGTCACAGGTCATGGTGCGCTGTGCCACAGCACTACACCCTGCAATGTGTGTGAGAGACAACAGACTTTACAGCATGTTGTTTTAAATTGAAGTTGCGTTGGTGTTTGTGTGTTGGTTGTTGACGGCAGTGTGTGCCCCTCCCCCCCCCGTGGTAAATTATTGCCCCCCCCATTCGATTTGTTCTAGAGCCGATCCTGCGGCTCAGACTCAGCGTCACCAGCTTCACCTCGCTGTGCGTCTCTCTCCCCGGTGTGTGTGTTTGTGTCTCAATGTGTGTGTGTGTTTGTGTCTCTGTGTGTGTGTCTCAGTGTGTGTGTGTGTGTGTCTCAGTGTGTGTGTGTGTGTGTCTCAGAGTGTGTGTGTCTCAGTGTGTGTGTGTCTCAGTGTGTGTGTGTCTCAGTGTGTGTGTGTGTCTCAGTGTGTGTGTGTGTGTGTGTCTCAGTGTGTGTGTGTCTCAGAGTGTGTGTGTCTCAGTGTGTGTCCTCACCTCTCAGCAGGAAGTCCCCTTCCTCTCTCTCCGTCTCTCTCTCCAGTCCCCGGCTCAGATCGTAGTCGTGGTCCCACTCCAGAGGGATGGAGTCCACGCTGGCCGGTGTGTCTCTGCCGGACCTCTCTCCTCGCTCTCCTCTCAGATTAGCAGAGCGCCCCCCAGAGGACGGGAGGGGCGACAGCAGGCCGTCCCCCAGACGCTCGCCGCCCCCCCCACGGACCCCCGGACACATCGCACGCCTCATCCAGATCCAGCTCCCGGTCCGAGAGAGAGACCTCGGTGTCTTCGTCCGCCAGCTGCACGGAAACAGATATAGAAAGATCAATATTAGAGATATCGTGTGACATGTTACATAGATGCAGGGAAGCATGTAGACCTGCAAGCATGTAGACCTAAAAGCATATAGACCTGCAGGGACACATGTAGACCTGCAAGCATGTAGACCTGCAAGCATGTAGACCTGCAAGCATGTAGACCTGCAGGGACACATGTAGACCTGCAGGGAACCATGTAGACCTGCAAGCATGTAGACCTGCAGGGAAGCATGTAGACCTGCAAGCATGTAGACCTGCAAGCATGTAGACCTGCAGGGACACATGTAGACCTGCAAGCATGTAGACCTGCAGGGACACATGTAGACCTGCAAGCATGTAGACCTGCAGGGAACCATGTAGACCTGCAAGCATGTAGACCTGCAGGGAAGCATGTAGACCTGCAAGCATGTAGACCTGCAGGGACACATGTAGACCTGCATGGAACCATGTAGGTCGGCAAGCATGTATACCTGCAGGGACACATGTATACCTGCAAGCATGTAGACCTGCAGGGACACATGTAGACCTGCAGGGGACACATGTAGACCTGCAGGGAACCATGTAGACCTGCAAGCATGTAGACCTGCAGGGACACATGTAGACCTGCAGGGACACATGTAGACCTGCAAGCATGTAGACCTGCAAGCATGTAGACCTGCAGGGACACATGTAGACCTGCAAGCATGTAGACCTGCAAGCATGTAGACCTGCAGGGACACATGTAGACCTGCAAGCATGTAGACCTGCAGGGACATATGTAGACCTGCAGGGACACATGTAGACCTGCATGGAACCATGTAGACCTGCAAGCATGTAGACCTGCAGGGAAGCATGTAGACCTGCAAGCATGTAGACCTGCAAGCATGTAGACCTGCAGGGAAGCATGTAGACCTGCAGGGACACATGTAGACCTGTAGGGACACATGTAGACCTGCATGGAACCATGTAGACCTGCAAGCATGTAGACCTGCAAGCATGTAGACCTGCAAGCATGTAGACCTGCAAGCATGTAGACCTGTAGGGACACATGTAGACCTGCATGGAACCATGTAGACCTGCAAGCATGTAGACCTGCAAGCATGTAGACCAGCATGGAAACATTCAATAGCTAACAATGACATTATTGTTCTATTAATATAAAGGGAGGTCAGGTACTCTTTAAAACAGCTGCTAGTTATGGGTACTTTTTACTGAAGGACACTTCAAAGCCTCTTTACTTTGACTTGTTGTTTAAACACGAGTATCTGTACTTCTACTTGAGTACAGGATGTGTGTACTTCTACTTGAGTAAAGGATGTGTGTACTTCTACTTGAGTAAAGGATGTGTGTACTTCTACTTGATTACAGGATGAGTACTTCTACTTGAGTAAAGGATGTGTGTACTTCTACTTGACTAAAGGATATGTGTACTTCTACTTGATTACAGGATGAGTACTTCTACTTGAGTAAAGGATGTGTGTACTTCTACTTGACTAAAGGATGTGTGTACTTCTACTTGAGTACAGGATGAGTACTTCTACTTGAGTAAAGGATGTGTGTACTTCTACTTGACTAAAGGATGTGTGTACTTCTACTTGAGTACAGGATGAGTACTTCTACTTGAGTAAAGGATGTGTGTACTTCTACTTGACTAAAGGATGTGTGTACTTCTACTTGATTACAGGATGAGTACTTCTACTTGAGTAAAGGATGTGTGTACTTCTACTTGACTAAAAGATGTGTGTACTTCTGCCTGAGTACAGGATGTGTGCCCTCTCTGCTGATATTAAAGTTGGCCTCTCACCGGCAGGCGGATGAGCTTCCTGTAGTACCGCTCGACCCTCCCGAACACCTCCTGGCAGTACCTCTGCAGCTCCTCCAGCTCCTCCTCCATCACCGCGGAGTCTAGAGGCTCGCTCTTCTCCATCAGAGCCTCCCCCTGCTGGAAGATCTGAGAGATCCTCCCTGTGGTGAGGGAGATCTCCTGCTGGAAGGACTGCAACACACACACACTCATCATCAACAAGCTCCAATTCTGAAATGTATCATGATGGGCGACTGTGGCTGTGAGTGGGTGTGTTCGTCTTTAAACCAGCAGGTTGTTGGTTCGATTCCCAGCCCTACAGTCAACATGTGGATGTGTCCTTGGGCAAGATACTGAGTGGCTCCTGA